AGTAATCTGTCCATCCAGCCTGTCATCCATTTATCTAATCACCAATTCATTCATTCATTCATGTTCCAATCCTTTGTCCATCCATCCAGACATCACTCAGTAAATGCGATTCACTTCATTCATCCATTCATCGGTCCAGTAACGTGTCCATTTATGAAGGCATGAGGTGAGCTTTGTTTCATGTCCTTCCCTCTCATGTCGGCAGCAGTAACGTGTTGGTTTGTGTCTGTCAGGTTCCTTTTGCCACCAGCATCTACGGCCTGATTGGACCAAACGGAGGTCTGGGCTTCGCTATCGGTGACTACACTCTGATTTATGTCTGACGCTGAGCTGCCAAAGGGCACAGGTCCCCTGTTCAGGACATGTCCCTCATTGCTCTCTGACGTTAGGTTGACGTTTACACTGAGGATCAAAGTTTTAATGTTTGCTGCCAGTAAAAACATGAACTTTTGCGTTTCTTTTGTTTTCTGTGTGGCGATGAAACAAACTGTGAATTAGTTTTGTCGGAGGTTTTCCTTTCAGAGAAATCATGTGAGAACTTCTGTTGAGCTCAGGGGACCCTTCAGAATCGTAAAGTTCTGCTGCTAGCGCTTCTTTAAGTTACGCTGCTTCTGTTTGTTTTACAGAAATTAAATTACTCTGACAAATTGTTAGAGTGAAGAAGTTTTCCCGTTTCAGCATGAACCTCCTGTCTGCTGCTTTTCACGAAGCAAAGCTTCATAGCTGAATAACAACAAACTCTTTCAAAGGTGTTTTGTCTGTAAATTGTTCCTCCTTTTATAGGAGAAACAAAACACTGTAAAAATCTAGTGCAGGTTGTTTTAATGTAGCTGCCTCATAGAACAATGCTTTCTAAAAACAATTCAAGGACTTTTACATTAATTCTTCTTGGGAAATTTACCATCAAAATACCTTTTTCCACTTCAGAAGCTTCTTTTTTTCTAATGTTCAGGTTCTCTATTCAGACATGTCGAGTGTGGTTTTTTATTACCTGACAGTTTCGGCGACAAACGCTCGCCTTCTTCAAAGATGACATTTCATTCATTTGTTCGACCTGTGGCAGTCGGCTGATAAGCAGGAGGCTGCAGATTGTAAAACACACAGACTCAGACTAAACTTTGAAGATTCTTTTTTCAGATACCAAATTATTCATCGTTGTTGTTTAGATTTGTGTCAAACTGTTGACTTGTAAGTTGTCCTGAAGGTTTCAGGGATGTTCAGGAGAAATTTCCATCCAATTCGGTAAAAAACAAGTTAAATCACAAGTAGAAAAGTATACCGAGCAGAGCTTTGGGATTTTAAGAGGTCCAACGAACTTAAAGTTTGAACTGGGAGGATCCAGTGGGTTGTTGTGAAAGGACCCTTTATCATATCTGTGATGAGTTGTGCTGCTTCCTCCAGGTATGGTGGACTCCTCCATGATGGCCATCATGGGCTACCTGGTCGACATCCGCCACGCCTCCGTCTACGGCAGCGTCTACGCCATCGCTGATGTGGCGCTGTGCATGGGCTTCGCTATAGGTAGCAGACACACTCACCACTCGAAGGGGAATTGATGGGAAAAATACATTGTTTACTTGTGACCTTAAGATAAAGATAGCAGAAGTAGCTCAGGTAGCTTTGTCATGTTCAGGAAGTAGGCTGAAGGGAAATGGAGCACTGTACTCAACAGCTGTGTTTGTGTTGTTCCAGGGCCGTCCACAGGGGGCGCTCTGGTCCAGGCGGTGGGCTTCCCCTGCCTCATGGTGTTCATCGGGGTCATCAACATCCTGTATGCTCCGCTCTGCATCTTGTTACGCAACCCTGCAGTCCGAGAGGAGAAAATGGTAAATATACACCTGAGATATGAGGTGAAGGCACTGTCGTCTGTTGCTCTGTTCTAGCTAACTAGCAGCTAGCTGGTGTTAGCTACCTAGCAGCTGTCTGGTGTTGACTAACTAGCACCTAGCTGGTGTTGACTAACTAGCAGCTAGCTGGTGTTAACTACCTAGCACCTAGCTGGTGTAAGCGAACTAGCACCTAGCTGGTGTTAGCTACCTAGCAGCTAGCTGGTGTAAGCTAACTAGCACCTAGCTGGTGTTGACTAACTAGCACCTAGCTGGTGTAAGCGAACTAGCACCTAGTTGGTGTTAGCTAACTAGCACCTAACTGGTGTTAGCTACATAGCAGCTGGCTGGTGGAAGCTAGCTAGCACCTAGCTGGTGTTAGCTACCTAGCAGATAGCTGGTGTACGCTAACTAGCACCTAGCTGGTGTTAGCTAACTAGCAGCTAGTTGGTGTAATCCAACTAGCACCTAGCTGGTGTTAGCTACCTAGCAGCTGTCTGGTGTT